AGGAGGATAACAAGGGCGAGAAGAAAGGCCAGAGGCCTCTTGGATGCTTCTCGGAGTCTCTTCGGATGTATCAGGGAAGCTTTCTGTAGGCCTCTTGGGGCCTCTTGGGGGCCTCGTGTCGGTCCCGGGAGCCTCTTGAAGCGTCTTGGGTGCCTCGGGGAGCCTCTTGGGGGCCTCTTGGGGGGCATCTTGGGAGCAAATTGGGGACCGCTCGGGGCCTCCCGGGGGCCGCTTAGGGGCCTTCTTGGGACACTCTTAGGAGCCTCGGGGGCCATCTTGGAGGTGATCGGTCAAAGAAGGGGCAAGTTTCAATTTGGACCCCCTCCAGGAGAACAAAACGCGGCCAGCACCTTGGGATCATCGATGATTTGGGCATTCTCGCCGAGGCCATCTTAGACGCTCCAACCCCTCACGAAACGCCCCGTCCAGGTCCAGGGGGAGCAGGGAGGGGGAGGGGTCAAGCTGCCCACTTGGCCGCAAGCCGCGTTGCTCACTCCCACCCGCCCCCCCAACACATGAATAACACCCGGAAGTCGGCATATCGCGCAGGAATGCCGCAGAAGCAACAGGCTCCGAATGCGCCAGACACCGGGGAGGCCCAAGCGTGCCAGGCGCGGCGCGTGCCCCACGTGCGCCCAGTGCTCTGCGTGCTCCAGCCGTGCCAGGTGCGCTGGCCGCTGTGAATCCATAGGGGCTCCACCTGCGCGCGCCGCAGCTGTGGCCACGCCAGCCATTGCGCACGCCTCGGCGCGTGCTCGTGGCTGCCGGCCACCGCGCGCGCCCCCCCCGTGGGACATCAACGTGCGATGTTGCTCTGTGTGCTGGTGGTGGTGGTGGTGGTGTTGCTGGCGATGCTGTGGTTGCTGCTGCCGGTGCTGTTGCTGCTGCTGCTGCTGCTGCTGTTGCTGCTGCTGCACCTGGTGTTTTTGGGTGCTGCTGCGGCAGCTGCTGGGGCTGCCGGTGCTGCTGCCGTTGCTGCTGGTGTCGGTGCTGCTGCTGTTCCCAGGGGGGTCCTCTCGGGGCCCTCTTGGCGGTGGTGTAGGCACGCATTCGGGTCCTCCTGGACCTCTTTTGATCAGGCTTCGGTGGTCGGGCTCTGTTGGGGGCCTGTCGGCTGCCCTGGAGGGGGGGATCAGAAGAGGGGCCATGTTTGATCCCCCCTCCTTTGATCCCCCCACCTCCACTGATCCCTCCTCCTTTGATCCCCCCCTCCCTTGCTCTAGGGCATCACCGATCAAAGGAGGGGGGATCTTTGACTTCGCCCCTCCCTCGCTGGAGTCTTCTGGGGGCCACCTCGGGGCGCCGTTGGGCCCTTTCAGGGGGCGGTTCTCGGGCACTCTTGGGGCCCTCGTGGGAGCCTTGGTGAGACTCTGGGGGCCATCTTGGAGGCGATCGATCCACAGAAGTCCATCGATCTCTGAGGACCACCCCAGGACCCCCCCATCCCCACATTTCAATGCTGACTTGCATTATTTTGTCCACCCGGACTTGGGGTGCTCGCTTGGTGCCACCATTGAAATGTAGGGGGCGGGAATTGTTCGTCGAGGTGGCGCCGCAATGTAGGTGCAGCTGCGCGCGGTCAGGAGCAAACTTCCAAAATTTCGTCTTCCCGCCGTAGCCCTCCCTTCGGGGGCCCTCAACACCGGCTCTTGAGGCCCTCTTTGGGCCACCTTTGGGCGCTATTGGGGCCGTCTTGGAGGCCTCGTGGGCGCGGCTTGGAGCTCTCTTGTGCAAATACTCTTGGGGCCCTCGTGGGAGCCTTGGTGAGCCTCTGAGGGCCATCTTGGAGGCAATCGATCAACAGAAGGGGGGGTAACATTCAGCCCCCCCGCCCCCCCTATCTGGGGCTAGCCCTCCATTCGTGGTCCCTCAAAACCGCCTCTTGAGGCCCTCTTTGGGCCACCTTGGGGTGCTATTGGGGCCGTCTTGGAGGCCTCGTGGGCGCGGCTTGGAGCTCTCTTGTGCAAATATTCTTGGGGCCCTCGTGGGAGCCTTGGAGAACCTCTGAGGGCCATCTTGGAGGCAATCGATCAACAGAAGAGGGTGTAACGTTTAGCCCCCCGTATCCAGGGCTGGCCCCCCTTCAGGGGCCCTCAAGACCTCCTCTTGAATGCCCTCTTTGGGCCATCTCGGGTCGCTCTTGGGGCCGTCTTGGCCTCGTGGGCCCAGCTTGGAGCTCTCTTAGGACATTTGTGGGGCCACCTGGAGGCCTCCCCCTCTGGAGCCCTCAGAATCGCCTCTTGGGGCCCTTTTGGCGCCAACTTGGGTCGCTCTTGGGGCTGGTTAGGGAGCATCCTGGGAAAAGGCGAGAAGGCAGCAGCCACTGATTTGTCAAAGCAGTCGGTCGACCACCTCCGCCCAGATGGCAGGTGGAATTCGCTGCCACCCTGGCCGTCCCCATTGGACACACATCAAAGTGGTCGCGGGGCGGCCGCGCATGCTCCGAATGTGGAGGCAGAGTGTGTGTCTGTAATGCTTTTTACAGGGATGTTGGGGGGCTGATCATGGGGTCGGCATTTTTCTGGGTTGGCTGCCAGCTGGGTGGAGTTGGTGGTGTATATTGATAGGGAACAATGAAAAGCCCCTCCCCGAAGGGGAAGCAGGAAGATGGAAGCGAAGACTCCCTAAACCACTCACGTCCTAAAGGCCTGTTGGGATTCGTGGGTTCATATTACTCCGAGTTTTTTAATAAGCGTCGGGGGGGCGTCACACCCCCGCCGACAGCCCCACATCGACCCCCGTCGCGAGCAGCCACCGCAGCCAGGATTCCAAGGAGAAGAAGTGCCACAAGTGTCTGTCCATGGCGTTTTTTCTTCCTCGACGTTTGCGTGGGGGGGGGAAGGCAGGATGGCATACCGCCTTTCCGGACCCTCTTGGGAGCCCCTTGGGATCCTCTTTGGGGCTCTTTGGGGACCGTCTTGGGGCCCTCTTGGGCCCTCTTGGGTCCCCCTTGGGCTCCTGGGTCGTCTTGGGCGACCGACAGCGAGCGGCAGCGGCGGCGGCGGCGACCCTCCGCGCGCTGCCGAGGACCACCTCGGGCGCCTCTCCGACCTCTTCGCGCTCGTCTCGGTCGTGCCGGTGCTCCCGGGGGGGGCGCCTCCAATCAGGCAGTGGCGAAGCGTCCTGGCATGCTTATAGTGACGAGCGAACAACTCACACCCATACCCATCGGAGGGTCGAGAGGAGGGGAACTGGCTATGGGTATGGGTGCGAGTTGTCGGACCCTGATGGAAGCCCCCGTCCGAGCGGGGACCCCCATCCGACAACACGCACCCATAGCCTCCTCCGTCCCCCTTATGGGTATGTATGGGTGCGTGTTGTTCGATCGTCATATAGGCCCACCAAACAATGTTCTAAGAACGTGGTCTGTGGTTTCTACGAAGTGTTCTTGGAACACTTCGAGCTGGGACTGTCCCGTTTTAGCACATCGGATTGATGTTCTGAGAGCATTGCTTTTGTTCTTAGAACATTTATGGGTTCTACGGAAGTTGCGTGGTGGGCCTATAAGAATGCCCGGACGGTCGGTCCCTGCTCAACCCAACCGGGAGCGCCGCAAAGGGCACGGACAGTCGAAGAAGAAACAACGGCAGAAACATGAACTTGTGTGGCGCTCCGTCTGGATTTCTTGGATCCGCGCTGGGCCCCAACCGGCGGCTCCGCGCGCCAGGGAGGGGGGTCCAGCGCAGATCCGAGAAGTCCGCGAGGACCTCCAGGTTTTTACGTCTATAACATTCTTCCTTCCCCTGGCATCCTCTCCGCACCGGTCAGGCTCTCAGTCCTCACCACGCGCCAGGCCCAGCCGCCTCGCGCGCGCCCCGCCCGCTCGCCCGCCCCCGGGTGCCCTCCGAGGTGATCTTCGCCGTCCGCGCCGCGGGCACCACGAGCCGCGCGGCCCGCTTCGGCCGCGCCGCCGCCAGCCAGGAGCCCGCCGGCGGGGGGGCCGCGGCAGGAGAAGCAGCCGCCGCTCGGTCCCTCCCCCCCCTTTGCTCTCCCCCTCCCTGGGCTGCTGCCGCGTGCGAGGGCTTGCCCGTGCCTCGCCGTCTGCCCCCCCTCCCCGTGCCCCTCGCGTCGCCCCCCCCCCCCCCGCGAGTGACCCCGCCGACTCCCTGTGGTGACGGGCGGGCCCTGGGCCACCACGCCTCGCGGCCCGGGCCGGCCGCGCCCGTCTCTTCTCCGGGCCGCGATGGGCGTGGGCGTTTGCGTGTGCGTGTGCGTGTGCGTGTGCGTGTGCTTGCGCGTCTGCGTGTGCGTGTGCGTGCGCGGGCGCGTGCACGTGCGCGTGCGGGCGCGCGTGCAACGGGGCGCTTGCGTGTGCGTGTGCGTGTTCGTGTGCGGATGTGTTTGTGTTTGTTTTGTTGTGTGTGTGTGTGTGTGTGTGTGTGTGTGTGTTTTGTGTGTGTGTGTGTGCGTGTGTGTCTGTGTCTGTGTCTTTGTATGCGCGTGTGTGTATGTGTGTGTGCGTGTGCGTGTGCGTGTGCGTGTGCGTGTGTGTGTGTGTTTGCGTACGTGCGTGTGCGCGTGTGTGTGTGTGAGTGAGTGAGTGAGTGAGTGAGTGAGTGAGTGAGTGAACGTGTGTGTGTGCGAGAGAGGGGGAGTGCGTGCGTGCGTGCGTGCGTGCGTGCGTGCGTGTGCGTGCGTGCTTGCGTGCGTGCGTGTGTGTGTGTGTGTGTGTGCGTCCGCCAAGGGGGGTCGAGCAGGCGTCACTGCACACGGTTGCACGTGCAGCAGCAGCAGCTGCACACTGCGCACCTGCGTCGATGTGGAGCATGATGATGATGAGGAGGAGGAGGAGGAGGAGGAGCAGCGACCAGGAGTGACCTCTGGGGACGACGTCCCTGCACCTGCCGGGGAACCTTTCACGTCGCAGCGCGGCACAGTCAGTCCGCACTTGCGTCCGGGCGACACCGGGGCACGGACTCACGAATTATCCGGTTGGTGATCAGGGAAGAAAAAAGGCTCTTAAAGGGGTCCTTTAGGGCCCCTTCTGGAGCCAGCAGGGGCCCTAAAGGTCCCTCTTAGGGCCTTCTCCTTCACCCCGCATGTAGGTCACCTCCCATTGCCGCGCGCCCGAAATCGGTCCGCACACAGGAGGGGGGGGAGGCAAGGGAGGCGGCCGCGTGGAGGGGGGGCTGAGCGCAGAGAGCACTCAGGAGAGCAGGCGCAGCACTCAGGCGAGGGGGGGGGCTGAGCGCATGGGGGGAGGCAGCCGAGTACCCCGGGGAAACACACAAGGAGGGAGGGGCCAATATCCCCTGACAGTGCAGCCCTGGCCGCCTCAGGAGCCCCTCGTGGGCACGGGAGGCGACCAAGGGAAACTCGAACGAGACTCTGTTGTCCCTTCTTGGACCTGCGGGGAGGACATTGCCTGGCCAGGTGTCTGCCATCGACGGTGCCACTGTACTTCGGTCGGGCATGTCCTGTTACAGGAGAAATATTCAAACATTGTCAAAAATGAGTCTGGGGACGATTTCTCTTGCATTTTTTCTTCTATTGAATATCTGTGGAGTACTTTTTATTTCTCGTCCAAAATCCGCCTGCAGGAGGACATGCCCGACCTAACACTGGAGCCGCACAGCATACAACTTCTAGAGGCTGCCTCCTTTGCCGCTGACACCAGAGAAGACTCTGGTGCGCTGCCTCTCGTCGATCGGTGGTCCGAGCGCCCGAATTAGGGGGTCGCGCGGCATACTGGTCTCTCAGCACTCCCGCCTCAGCTTGCAGTCAAGGTGCTTGCGGTCGACTCGTCGCGCGGCGCGTCTCACGCCACTCGTTGCCCATTTGTGTGAGTCAGCTGCAGCTTTCGAGTTTCCAGAGACGGTGGGGAAGTCTCAGGCGGAACGTCCGGGCCACCCTACCGACGAACTGGGGGTTGCGACAGGGAAGGGTGATGCATTAGGAACACGGACGAAGGGGGGCCGACGGGAGAGGAGTTCGAGGAAGAAGAGGAGGAGGACCAGTGTAAGCTCAAGACGCATCAGCGATTGAGGTCCGTCTTCTTAGAGATGCTAGTCGATATTCTTGAAACGTATCCTTGAACTCTTGGCCCGTGTTCAACATGCTCCACCACAGTATCTTGGTGATCAGCACGAAGTCTCTGGGGCAATTTTGTGCACACGCTGCAACTGTGCTCCTTTAGGACTGCCCACCACCAGTGAGCTTTGGACCACTATCATGTCGCAGATCCAGTCCTTCGTCTTGGGAAGACCGGGGGCAATGCACGTCTCAAACTCAAGCAGCGCGATGCTCCAGGGGAAGCCGACCTTCACCGCCGTGCGTATGAGGAGACATAACGAGACACTGTCATAGAACTTCTCCAAAACCAACACTAGCGTAGCAAGTTTTCCAATTGACAAGCCCAAGTTCGTCTGCATGGGACCTGAGCAGCGCTTCTTAGTGAAGAGGATCCTTTCAGCGCCGTATCGCACAATGCACTGAGGCTTTGGGACCATCCCGAAGCAGGGCCAGCACGAGCCTGATTCCAGAGCATGCCCACCGTCGGTAACAACCCCAGAACACGCTCGTCCAAGTGCTGACCGTCTCCACATTGTTCAGAAACTCCACTGCTTCGATCTGCCCGAGACTGGCAACCGCGCCACATCATTGACACTAATGTTACTCACGCCATGTTCCTCCCGAGCGGTTATCCGCGAGGCTTGGCTGGGGCCACTTGTGGGGCGTGCCCCTTCGAGGTCGTTTTCCCTTACCGCTTGGGACCCTCCCGCAGGGGGCTTTCCCTCGGTCGCTCTCAGACTCGCTCTCTCTCTCTCTCTCTCTCTCCCTGTCCTGGCGGCTTCCGCTACATGCACCGACCGCGGGACTCCAGTGCATTCCAGTGGAGCCCCTCGAGGCCCTGTGGCAAAGGTAAGCCTTTGTGGCGGCATCTTCCCCAGAGGCATGGAGGCACACAAGAAGGACGCATGGCTGTCCTTAGGGTACCCTTGCGTCCTAGCCTCTTCGGCTCGTCCTTCGCGGTTTCCGTTGGCCAGCCCCTCAGGGCGCTGGCAGTCCGCCGCCCAAGAGGTGTCAGCTTCGGCGTCCAAGGCCCTTGCATCCTTACCGCCCATCCGTACTACAGATTTCGACTGTAGAGGACGACGAGGGCGAGGACGGGGCGCGGGAGAGCAGGAGGAGCAGGAGCACGAGGAGGAGGAGGAGCAGGAGGAAGACGAGGAGGAGGAGGAGGAGGAGGAGGAGGAGGAGGAGGAGGAGGAGGAGGAGGAGGAGAGGAGGAGGGAGAGGAAAGCTAAAAGAGGAGAGTGAAGTACGAGAGGAAGGGAGCACCGGAGAGGGGAGGGGAGGCACACTTCAGGAGAGAGGAGGAGGAGGTTGGATGTCGGGTGGACACAAGGAGAGGAGGAGAGGAGGAGGAGCGCGCAGGAGGAAGGAGAGGAGGAGGAACGAGAGGAGGAGAGTTCAGGACCAGGTGGAGGAGGACCTGGAGCCAGCAGAGGAGGAAGGAAGGGATGAGCGCAGGAGGATGGAGGACGACGAGGATTGGAACGAGAGGAGGAGGGGAAGGAGGAGGAGGACGAGGAGGAGGAGGAGGAGGAGGAGGAGGAGGAGGAGGAGGAGGAGGAGGAGGAGGAGAATGATGAGGAAGAGGACGGCGAGGACGAGGCCGAGGCGCAGGAGAGCAGGGCGGGGAGCGCCCGCGCCGCGGCCCACAGCTCGGCGCCGCTGGGCTCGCGCCGGCCGGCCCCGCGCGCGCGGGCCCGAGCGGGAGGCGGAGAGCGGGCCCCGCGTGGCGCCATAGCCATCGTCGGGAGAGGAAGAAACACACAGACACAATTCATCGTCGATTCCCAGGAAAATATGGGGAAATATGGGGAGTGGGGGGGAAGACGAAAGCCCAGAGCAGGTGGGAAAGTGTGGGGAATCTCTTTGTGTGTGTATTTTTTATTTGTGTGTCCTGGGGCCCCTTCACATCGGTCGTTGCAAACAGGTTCGTTTTTTTGAGTCCCAGATTCCTGTCTGGTGCAGGTGCCCTCTTACCTCAAGAGTCGAGTGGTGTTCCCCTCCTCCCTCCTCTTCAGGAGGCGGGCGGAGGCTCAATTTACTTCCAGCGCCCCGGCAGCAGCACCGTAGCCGGCCCTCGGGGCCTAAGAGAGGGGGGCCAATGCAAGCGGGGGTCAGCCAGAGCGCTGAGTCTTGCAGGAGCCTGCATGGCCAGGAGTGCATTGCCCCGGGCGAAGGTGCAGGGTCCTGCAGGACCATGCAGGAGCCTGCAGAGCCAGGGGTGCATTGACCCGGGCTTGGGTGCAGGATCGTGCAGGATCTTGCAGGATCTTGCCAGGCCTGACTGACCCGGCTTTGCATTGACCCAGGTCAGTACGTCCCCGACGAGGTCTTCTCCCCTCCTGGGGTATGGTTGTGTGCTGTTCGTTCGTCACAAGTGGGGCCGAAACGCCCAGACATCGAAGAACACACAACGCCGTATAATATATACATATATATATATGTATATATAGATGTGTTTACATGCACATGTATGCATATATGTGTGTATGTATATATATATATATATATATATGTATCGCTCCGCGCGGGTTCCTTGGATCCGCGCTGGGCCCCAACCGGCGGCGCCTCCAGCGCTGCCCCTGGCGCGCTCCGCACGCCAGGGAGGAGGGTCCTGCGCAGATCTCAGAAATCCGCGCGGAGCGCCAAAAGTTTATGTCTATGGCATTTGTTCGTCTTCTTCTACTCCCTCCGACTCCCCTCTGGGTATGGTTGCGTGTTGTTCGTCACAAGTGGGGCCGGAACGCCCACCCATCGAAGAACAGAAAACGCCATAACATAAACTTTTGGCGGTCCGCGCGGGTTTCTTGGATTCGCGCTGGCCCCCCCCCTCGGCGGCGCCTCCGGCGCCGCCCCTGGCGCGCTCCGCGCGCCAGGGAGGAGGGTCCGGCGCAGATTCAAGAAATTCGCTCCGAGCGCCAAAAGTTCACGTTGGTTGTTCTTGTCCCTCCGACTCCCCTCTGGGTGTGGTTGTGTGCTGTTCGTTCGACACAAGTGGGGCCTGCGCGCCCACCCAGACATGTCGACTCGGCAACGGTTCGCTCGACACTGTCATTCGGGTGTGCCCGCGCAGCCCGCAGTCGGTTTCGCTGATCGACGTTCGTTTCGCCGGACGCATTCTTTCGTTTTTGGACGTGGATTCGCTACCCCGCTGGGGTGCACTCGAAATGCGGTGCTGTGCGCAGGCGAAGTGCCTCTGGCAGTTCTCACTGAAGGGTGTTTTGCTAATGGTGGTTCTGTCCACCCCCGGGGGTCCGAGCAGGTGCGATCGAAGGATCACGCCGACGTCGCCGATGCGGCACGATCCTCCAACCCCGTCTAGTCGGACCCCAGCTCTGAGAGGCCTCCAGATGGATGCAGGACGCGAGCGGGCGCGTCTAGAGCTCGCCGTGAAGAAGCCAGTGGGTCCTGCGGTTTTTCCGCCGCTTCTCGGTCCCACAGGGCCCTCCGCGGGCACCAGGACCGTCATCGAGGAACGGACAAAATATTTCGAGAACTCTTATACTACTCACTCTGATTATAATCTATGCGTCGTGGCGGGCGCTTTCTGGCCACACCGCGCGGAAACGTACATACTGCAAGATGGGCCGACTATATGTTCGGACCGGGCGCGCGCCTCCAAGGAGGACACACAGTATCACAGTATGTCTCCGTGCGTCCCGGGGAGAGTCCCGTCAGGACCCGTTCCTTCCATGTGCGAGCAGTTCGGCCTCCTGGCGTATGATGCTCCAATCTACTTTAGCCTTGATCACCAGGAAGAATTTCGAGCGCCCAAGGAAGTACCGAAACTCCTGTGTTTTTACGTGTCGGGCCCTGGGAGACACTCGCCCGACACCGTCTCGACACTGCTTCGACACGCTTTCCACACTTGCCTGGGTGCTCGAAAGGATTTCCGGGATGTGGCCCTGAAGTAGGATGGGAACGGTTCCGGCGTCGCTCACCGCTGCTCCACCGTGGGCCAGATGCTTGCCACAGCGCCTCGGCTTCCGGCCGGTGCGTCCGTCGAGAGAGAGCGCCGTGCCCTCGGGCCGTGCGCAGCTTGCTGCCCGCCCTGTGGGTCTGCCGCTCTCGGCACGGTTCCTGGCAGGCCGTGCGCGCGAGCGGCGCGGCGTGCGCGTTCCGCAGGGCGAGGCGGGGGCCCGCTCGGAGCGAGAGCTGCCCGCCACCGGCGGGCGCGCGGCGTATGCGCCGCGGGACAGCGGGCACGCTCGGCAAGCCCACGGGGGGCCCGACGGGCGGGAACCTCCTGCTCCTCGTCCTCCTCGTCCTCCTCCTCCTCCTCCTCCTCCTCCTCCTCCTCCCCCTCCCCCTCCTCCTCCTCCTGCTCTGCCTCCCCCTCCTCCTCCTCCTCCTCCTCCTCCTCCTCCTCCTCCTCCTCCTCCTCTGCCTCCCCCTCCTCCTCCTTCTTCTTCTCCTCCTCCTCCTCCTCCTCCTCCTCTTCCTCCTCCTCCGCCCTAGTGTACGTGTGCTGCAGGGGGGGGGGCAGCATCAGGCAGGCAGCGAGGACCCTCTGGGCAAGCCCCGCGCCCGCGAGGAGGGGACAGAGAAGCCGCCCGAAGACCAGGGACCGAGCGTCTCGCTGGGCGTGCCCAGCGCGGGGCTTCTGCTGGCTTCCGAGGACACCCCTGTGTCGGGGGGGGGACGGGGCACGGCCATTGTCCATCCTCCTCCGTCCTCTCTCCTCGTCCTCCCTGCCTCCTCTCCTCCTCCTCCTCCTCCTCATCCTCCTCCTCGTCTCGCGTCACACCCGGATGTCTCCTCGTGGCGCTTGACGGGCACGTCTCATGATTGACAAGGGTTTCAATCATGTGGAGGTTGGCTAGATCCGGGTGAACTCGTTTCCCATCGGCTACGCATGCAGTTTTGTTGCGGCCTTTGGCAGAGGCATAACAACATGGAGGGTATCATTACGCAGTTTCGCGACGTGGTGCCTTTCTCCAGAATGGGGTGCTTTGGGCGAGGTCCTCGAGTTGGCAAGATATGCAGTTCTTCTTTATTGAACGTTACAGGGCCATGGCTAAGGCAGAACAAGCTGGAGGGCACTTCCATTTGGGCTGCTCTGGGTCTGGTCAGTGTTCACGGGAGTTTTCTGCAAGTTTCGACCCAGGGCGGGGGTTGGGTTGGAGGCACGCGGGCTTCGAGCCCATCTAAGCCCTCCACCTTTCGGCCTGGGCGTACATCTGCCGCTCATCTTCCTGACGTCCCGTCCCATGCTGAGGGTTGGGTTGGAGGCACGGGGGGCTGCGAGCCCTCTTGAGACCTTCACCCTTCGGCCTGGGCGTACGATCTCGTTTTGCAGTTGTATACGCTTCTGTATCCATGCCCTGGGTTGTATTGCAAGCATGCTGCTGGTCCTTGGGCAGTGGCAAAACATGCGGGTGGGTATTATCGCGGCGTTTCGCAACGCGGTGCTGCTTTCCTGGGCAGTAGTTGTTTCTCTTTTGTTTTGTCACACGCTTTGTTCCGCATCTTGTGCAAAGTATTGCAGTCTGGGGCTTTTGCTGTCGGTGGCACTTCCTTTGTTCGTCTGGGGCGAGGTGGTCTGTGGGTGAGGCGAGCTCCTTCCTTCATTGCGAGAGTTAGCCCAGTGATCCACGGTAGAGTCTTATAGAGTCAAACTCACGTGGGCGTAGCCACCTGTTATGTCAATGTGGAGTCAATTCGGCGGCAGACCCGGCATAGTTTCAGTTTTTTGTATGTATTGGGGCTGGCCTGGTAGTTCTTTCGTGGTATTGTTGTTTTTCAAGTCGTGTAAGGGTTAGCTTCTGCGTCCGGGCCAATATTCATAAGTTTTCTGCTGGTGCATATCCAAAGTCCTCTGGTTTGGCGTCTTCGTTTTCGAGCTCAGAGGGTGGCTTGTGTAATATCACCTCGAGATGGCGTCCACTCCGCTCCACTCATCATCTTTTTCATCATCATCGTCATCATCATCGTCATCATCATTGTCATCATCACCATCATCATCATCGTCATCATTATCATCAGCATTTCCTGCTCCTCCTCTTCCTTCTGCTTCTCCAGCTTCTCCTGCTTCTCCTGCTTCTGCTCCTCCTCCTCCTCCTCCTCCGCCTCCTCCGCCATATTCCTCATTCCCTCCTCCATCAGTCTGGTCCTCTTCCCTCCTTTTCCCCGCTCCTCCCCCCCTGACCCCTCCTTCCCGAGGTGGGTTGTTTCGTCCACCCCAGAATCACCGGAGGCGGTACACCACCTCGGGGAAGGTGGCCGCGACTGGGCCGACGTCAAGCTCTTGCCCTATCCCAGCGCATCTTTTCGTCTTGGTGCACCCTTCGGGTAAGACTACCGTTGTCGTTCCCACATGCTCCTACATGCCCTTGCTCCTGACCCGTCCTCTGCAGCATTCCACCTCCCCTCCTCCGTGCTCGTCCCTCCGCCCTCCCTTCCCCCCTCCTGTTGGCGCGCTCCCCTCCCGCGCCAGAGCGAAGGCCCTCAAGCACCGCGCCCTCTTCATCGGTGCGGGCGCGAAGGCTCGCCCTTGCCAGCACTGCCGCGCGGAGGGGAGGGGGTACACGGCTGGCGAGGCCTCGGGTTGCCCACATACAGCCTTTTCCCCACGAATCGGGACGATCGCAATTGGTATGGGAAAAATGGGAACAAAGTCCAGCAGCGGGAACAATGGACATTTCTTACTCATTCTGAACAAGGGTCGTTGTCGGCGTCGCCGCGGACGTTGTTTATTCGAGGCAGAAGGCCGCCTGCCCAACAGCGACCGCCGTCGGTTTTGGACAACAATTGCTGTTGGACATCGTACCCATTATCTTCGTACCCACTTCGGGCGTCCACGACATAGGCCCAGCTTCAGCGGACACTTCAAGAAATCCCAGGTGACCTCAACACTAAGGGGGGAAAACAACCCGGACCCGATAACTGGCGTTTACGAAACGGCCTTGGGCGTTAATTGCACAACCTTGCCCTGTTCGCTTCCTTCTTTGGGTGCCTTTACTGAACGGCTTCGCGTGTCGGGTAAATTGTGTTAAATCAGGCTTGCGCCTCAACAGGCGGAATATTCACAAACAGTTTTCAGCATAGTTCGGGGACGATTGTTTGATTATTGTTTGACCATGTTTGTCTATTTTCGACTATTGTCATTTATCCAACATCTGCCTGTAGGGGGACACGCCCGACCTACAATGTACAAATTAGAAACCTAATTTGTGGCGCTCCGCGCGGATATCTTGGATCCGCGCTGGGTTCCTCGGCGGCTCTGGCGCCGCCCCTGGCGCGCTCCGCGCGCCAGGGAGGGGGGTCCGGCGCAGATCCAAGAAATCTGCGCGGAACGCCAAAAGTTAAGATTTATGCAGTTGTTTTCCCAATTGACAGGTTTCCAAAACGCTTCGGTCTTCCAGAACAGCGGCAAATACAAAAACATCGAATCACCTACTGTTTCAAAGGTTTTCGAGCAGATTCAACAAAAACCGTCAGCCGGTCTTTTAAACCACCTCGTATTTGAGAGAGGCTCGAAAGCATCCTGTTTGGATTTGGAAGCAATGTTGACAGGATTCTGGAAGCATGTTGCGGAAGGGATTTTGACTGGTTTCTGATTGGTTGTTGCTTGGATTCTGATTGGGTTTTTTGGGTGGATTCTGAGTGGATTCTGAAGGGATTCAGATTGGATTCTGAAAAGATTCTGACTGGGTTCCGGGACGACGCCAAAGGGAGTCCGAAAAGGGTCCAACAGGAGCCTGGAGCAATTCTACTACGATTCCGGAAGGCAATTCCAATACGATTCCGGGGCAATTCCAATACACTTCTGGAGCATTTCCAGTACAAGTCCAGGCCAATTCCCGAAACTTCAATCTGAGCACGCAAGCGGCTCAAACGGCAACCCGAGCACGCAAACGCCCCAAATGGCAATCTGAGCACGCAGACGCCCCAAACGGCAATCTGAGCACGCAGACGCCCCAAACGGCAATCTGATGACGCAACCGCCCCAAACGGCAATCTGAGCACGCAAACGCCCCAACAGGCAATTTGAGCACGCAGACGCCCCAAACGGCAATCTGAGCACGTAAACGCCCCAAACGGCAATCTGAGCACGCAAACGCTTCGCAAGGAACTCAATCGATCATTTTTGATAGGCTCATGCATAATCTTCGGCCCCCACTGGCGCCTCGCGCGTTGCAATGCTCCAGCGCGCCCACGTCGAGTAGAGACGATACCCTTCCAAATCGTCGCCGGTTACGGGATGCGAGACGGGAAGCGCGCGTTCGTGCCAGGAACATTGCGCGAACCACGTCGCCTCTAAGAATGCGACCTACAACAAAGACGGTCTCGCCACGGTTGCTGACAATTTTTCTGGAGTTCTGCGCGATGAAGAATCGGAGTCCGCGCGCTTCCCGAGACGACATGCGAAGGTCGAAACGGCGAATATTTCCATTGAGTTAGTCACCCCAGAAGGGGTGAGCACAAGTCCGGGGGATGCTTACAATGGAATGCTTAAACCGTTGGGTTCTGCATTCGCCTTGATCAGAGGCAACGTGTTGTCAGAAGATACGGCGAGCAAAATGACAGGAATTATGTTGGCGAGCAAACGAGCAGATCAATAGAACAGATGATGCGCTTGGAGAGATCAGCAATCATTCGATTTGGATGTTCTGCCGCGTGCTCGGCGAGAGTCGGCTGGGCAGGTCGATTCTTTCGTTTCCCACGGCACGTCGCACCGAGGCTCTCCAATTCATTCAGGAGGCCACAGACAAAGTGATGGTCCGCCGCTTTCTTCGTAAGACGACAGCAAGATTGCGGGAGCTATGCAGGCAGCTAAGGAGTAAGCTGAAAGGGGCCAGACAAGGAATTGCGCTTGTTTGAGCTGTCGGTCCAGGAGCGTCCCTATTGCTATGGTGCGACGCTCGGATTGGCATTGCGCGCGCATCCACGGGATCGGCTTCCAATATTGCCCTTTACGTTGCGCGGGGCACAACGATCTTCAGGGGGCAAGTTCGCGCGAAGGAGTACGGCAACGATCCCGGCTGCGCGGCTTCTGCGGGCTGCGGCGTTGCCACGGACGCCGCCTTGGCAGATGAGGGGCCCTCCTCCTCCTCCTCCTCCTCCTCCTCCTCCTCCAACGCAGACATCGGTCATAATCCAGGTGACGTCACTAGCGCTGCTTCATTTGAGCGGCAGTATGGAGCGTTCTGCTTGATGCATGATTTGAACCATGTGCCTTGCGCTTGCTGCTCTGGCGGGGCAGCGACATCGTGGACGTCTCATGCCGCAGCCACCGAGGTGAGCCAACGATCGAGGCATCTATATATGAGTCGCGAAGTAGTGGCTTGAAACCCACATCCCCTGTCGCGGGGCGCAGCATTCGTTGAGCGCGGAAGTCGGGGGCGACGAACGGGTCAGGGGCGCATTGACGCAGCCCCGGGGGTCGGGTTATTTTGTTTGCCATCGCAAGCCGTGCGACTGACATCGTCGGCAGCGGGTGGACAGTCAGTCCACCAGACCTGTCCCGCTCACTAACGATGCTGCTCTAGCTCCCAGTGATTTGCGTTATTTTCTCGTGCGTCAGTCACGTGAGCTTCGCGTCGTAGTCGACGGCCGCAGTCATTGCGCTGCCTCCGTCTCCGACGCTGCTGCGCCAGAAGCTGCTGCAGCGTGGGTTTCTTCTGATCACGCCAGCGCGCCGCGGCGCCTTCGGCCATGCCAAGTCCTCGCGCTGGGCCCTTTCAGCATCTCCTCGATGCTGGCCGGGGCCGCGCGAGACGCGAGGACGCGAGACAGTGGAGTTTCCATTGGAATCTGCTTGCATTCATTCTCCAGATTCGCCATGCTTCTGACGCTCCCGGAAAATAGCCATGTCTCATTGCTTGCGCCACTCCGCCGCGCAATGCCGGCGACAGCGCAAAAACGATTTCAGATTGCAGCACCGCGCGCAGGTCGCCGAATAATGTCAGAGCCCCGAATCATCAGGGGTAACTCGGGTCAGGGATAACTCGGGTTCGTTTTTCGGGAATCCAAACCCGAGTTACCCCGGACCCGAGTTACCCCGGATAACTCGGGCGTCCAGAGCCCCGAATCATCAGGGGTAACTCGGGTCAGGGGTAACTCGGGTTCCTTTTTCGGGAATCCAAACCCGAGTTACCCCGGACCCGAGTTACCCCGGATAACTCGGGCGCCCAATAATGCGACATCAAGATCATTTGTTTTCATGTTCGGCGCGTCTGGCTGGGAAAGCGCGACAACGAGCTCAGATATGAATCCGGGGCGCCCCTGCGCCGAGGGGCGCGCGACGTCGCTTCTAGACTGCGATTCTCGGCGCGCCTTTTGGGGGGGAGCGCGAACGCAAGGTTAAGTTAGAAGTTATGGCGCGCCTCCCTTGGGAAGCGCGAGGGCCATGTGACATTGCACGTCTGGGCGCGCCTGCGAAGGGGGCGCCGTGAAGTCGGTCTCAAACTGCGGTGCCGGGAGAATGTTCCCGGAGGGACGCGGAAGCGCGTTGGGGCTGCGATCCAGGGCGCCTTGCGCCGAAGGATTCAGGAGGGAAAAAAACACACAGACACAATGAATGCTCGATTCCCCAGAAAACATAGGAAAATATGGGAAGTGGGGGGGAAGACAGAAACCCAGAAAACATGGGAAAATACAGGATTTGTTTCATTTGTGTGTCCTGGGGCCCCTTCAAGGATGCGAAACCAAGGTCGGGTTTCAATCGTGGGCGCCGTTGCGCCGAAGAACGCGAAATCATCCTTAGGTTGCAATTCTCGGCGCGCCTGCCGGGGGGGAAAGCGCGAAAACGGGCTCACATTGTCACCACCCACCAACCCATCCCAACCCAACTCGAAGGCCTCAAATTGACCTCCATTTCCAGTGGGGGGGGGGGTCGTGGAACATCGAGAAAACACATGGAACCCGTACCCCCCCCAACCGGAAATTCGGGTCATCGGGTTGGGTTGGGGTTGTCTGGTAGGTAGTCACATTGGGATTCTGGGCGCGCCTGCTTGGGGAAGCGCCGTCGGTCTTGTAAATCAATGCGAAATACTTAACACCTTCAGGAATGCACGAGCTCGATAAAACAACCAGTTGGTTTAAAAGACCGCAGCGCCGTTTCTTTTTTTTCGGGGGGGGGGCTGCCGAGGCCGGCTGGGTCTGCTGGTGGGGACTTGTTGGGGCCATCGGGCCAGCTGGGATTTGGGGGGGGCTGTTGTCTGCGCATGGCCGGGGGCCCTGCCATGCAAGGCCGAGCCCATGGAAGGCAATCTAGGCCTCCCAGATGGAGTCTGAGTAGATGGGGCCGGAGCGGAGGATCGCGCCGCATCGCCGATGCATCGACGATGCGGGTTGATGTGGAGCCCGTGCTTCCCTGCGCAAGCGTCGCCGATGCATCGCCGACGTCGACGATGCATCGCCGCCGAATCGCCGGCGCATCGCCGATGCATCGCCGATGCATCGGCGATGCAGCGGGGTCCTCCGACCCCGTCGACAGTGGAGACCAATGCCAAGAAGCACCCTTCTTGCCTCTAGGGTGCCC